ATGAAACAAACATAACACTGCTGCACTTCACGCGTTTGTTCTTTGATCAGAGAAAAAACATTTCTATGTACACGTCTGTCTGAGAGGAGGAACGCTGCGATTCAAACCTGCAGTGGACTCAACTTGGAGCTCAAACATTATTCCAACTGGGGGATGACCCAGTCCAGTGGTTTTGCCCTCAGTCTGAGCTGAGTCATTTAGTTTCGGTGATACTGAGTCTGAACCGGATTCTGTTTACCTTACAATACACACTTTAAGTACATTAAAGTTATTAACATCAGTCCAGTGTAGCTGCTTTACACAATGAAGATCTCTGTGATGCATTATTAAACAGCTGTATTTCTGCCTCCAGTCTGGTCCGTCATGTTCTGTAGCTGGAACCTTGTAGCAAAGCTCCAGTAGAACCCTGTCTAGAGTTAGAGGGTAATCCCCAGGCGTCCTAACCGGGATTAACTGGGGATCTTCTGTCTATGAGGCGACCATGCTGACCACCAAGACACCGTACAGCCCAGACCAGCTGTAGTACCTGGTTGTTCCACCAGGTGGAGCCTCTTACTGTTTAATCCTGTAGAGACCAGAGGAGGCGTCACACGTACCCCTTTTCCACCAAACTGGTTCCAGTGCTAGTTCCATGCTAGAGCCTGACTCAGCACCAGTTCTTTGTGTTTCCACCGCCTAAGCACCGGCCCCAGGCTCTCAGAACTGGTCCTTAGCAGGCACCACCTCTCTGCTGGTCCAGAGCTCAGCACCGAGTCCATCAGGGGCTGGGGGCGGGGCTATCGGGACCACCGAGACCACCGAGACCACCGAGACCGATGGATGGGACACACAAGAGGTGATTTGTGTGGTTCTTCACCAGGACGTCTCTGGTCTGATCACAGATGTACTGAATGAGTCCCGGGACACACGGAGGTTCTGCACAAACTTGAAACCCGGTCCAACTGTGTCCCAGCAACAGGACTGATAGAACTTCAGTATTTAGCTTAGAAATGAGGTGTTCTGGTGACAAACGGAGCAGCTATAGCTCATGAAAACAGATCACTGGGTTTCATCCTGGACAGATGTGACACCAGAACCTCCTGGTTCACTCTGTTAAAGTCATCTCTGGTCTCACACCGGTCTGAGCACCGCGGCCTCCAGCAGCAGCAGCTTCTCTTCCTGCTCTCAACGAAGGCGGACGCTTGTCTCGCTCCCTCCGGCTCTTCTGTGCCCTGATGCTGCTCTTTGTCTTGTGCTGTCTCTGTCTCCATCTATCAGAGCCTTTCTCTAACACCCCCCTCCCCCTCCCCCACGTGCAAGTCTTCGAGTCTTTGTTGTGATGTTTTATCGTGTTTCTTGGACGGGATGTAAAATTAATTTCCCTGAGGTACCCTACCAAAGGGAACAATGAAGTTCTGTACTATTCTAGCGCAGCCTGCTCTGTGGGGCGTTCAGGGAACATCGTAAACTGTAGCGTCTATGGATAAGAACATGCTCAGCAGGTCAGATGTTCTGTCTGTGACCAGATGGGAAGTGAGACCAGATGAGAAAGTGGGTCACACCGGTCCCAAATCCGTCTGGAGTCCTGTGTGGTCTTCTGTGTGGCGCCAGCGCTGTTCGGTAAACGGTGACGTACGGCTCCGACTGGGCTCCTTATCAGTGGAAAAGCAACCGGTTCAACCGATTGGAACCAACTAAGCACTGGCCCTAGCACCAGAACGGTACTGGTACCTGGTGCTTCTTGGTGGAAAAGGGGTATCAGACTACAGCTCCTGGTGGCAGCAGAGAGCATTGTGGGAGTTTAGCAGCAACGGGACCATGACAGAGACTCTGAGGAGGTTCAGGACCTCCAACCAGTTACCGCGTTGCAGGCAAACTGGGATCAATTAGAACAGAGTTTGTCTAATCCAGTGGCCATTGTTGAAGCTGAGGTCTGGTGTCTGCTGACTATAACATCACCGGCACAGGGACTGGTGTCCACTGGACTCAACTTGTGTTATTGATTTACAAATTATTGACTGATAATTGGTTAAGAAAGTTGCTGCAGGTTTGCATCAGTGTGATCATGTGAGGACTAAACCCCTCACATGAACAAATGCTGACTATCATCTACTTGTGTTGCTGAATAATCCGTTTGACAACATGCTAAACACTGATAAGTTGAATTATTCTAAACTGGTATCACTAATATCCTTCAACAAACTGTGTTTTCCTTTTACAACATTTGTGTGACAAAACATGCACACAAAGGGTCAGAATACCAACCAGATGAAAGATGCCTTGATCGATCCTGATCTTTGAAACTGGATCAGAACAACCCTAACTCTCAGTGCAGGCTGACTGTCAGAATTCCTACGTCAAGCATCGGCTGCATTAAATCTGAGAACACCTGAGGGCTGAACCACGAAGCAGGTTCAACAGATCCTGACTTTCTTGTTAGTCAGCTTAACTAAACCTGAACCCAGTCAGAGACATCAGAAGGTGTTGATCAGCGTTCTTAGTGAACCAGCTTTTCTTCTTCAGACTCTCATTAAAGGAGGCGTTTAACGCGTCATGTGACTCTCCTGCAGCAAACGGACCAATCAGGTTCCTCCTGCTCCAGCCAGCAGCTTGTTCTCATGAGAACAACGAGGAACATCAAGAACTGTGACTTCAAAGAGCTGCTGCTGGAGATGACGCAGGACAGGAAGCTGCTGGAGACCTGCTCACCATGTGGTCACTATGGATGGTCCTGATCAATGCAGCTGATTATTGATCACTGACGGCTGAACATTAAAGCTGTTAAACCTTAAACCTCACATATTTAACCCTGATGTCGTGCTGAAGCTCATTCAGGTCTGACTCTGTCCCATGAGGCAGGAAATCACTTTAATAACGACAAATCAAAGTGAATCAATCCTCCTGATTGGATGTTCTCTGTAATAAATACCAATAGATGATCAATGTTCTGATCAGTGATCTATCAGCTGCAGGACCAGCAGAGTAAACGGACCAAACACAGAAACACATTCATGTGATCTCTGCATCAGCAGCTGAACACATGTAGGTTTCCATGGCAACAGGATGCCTCCAGTGTGTGATGCTGTAACTGCTTCATTCAGTGTTTCAGTAACGTACAGATCAGCAGGTTTACAGAGAAAACATCATCAGGAACCAGTTAAAGGGAGA